TGTAAGGATAGTTCAGTGAAAATTGGGGCATGTCAACACAAATCCTCAATTGGAGAACATCTAATAGGCTCCTGTTCGCCAGGACTGTATTAGTATACTGTGTACTTAATCATTTTAACTTCCTTACTGCAAACTTTGGGTGTCATTTGCTGGCTATATATATAAAATAGGAGAGAGAAAGAATATAACTCTCTAGTGAGCTGATGAGAGAGAGAGAGAGAGAGAGAGATTGGTGGCAGCCAAACATATAAAATCAGCTTAACCCATAACCACTTGTTATAGGAAAGTCTAAGGGGACCTCAATTAATGGCAAAACACCCCATGGTATCTTGACGAATTGTTATAGCAATTTTGTTCTAATCATGTTAACAAGTTATTCACTCATGAGTTTCTTCATCATCGCCTCATCATCTGAGCCTTATCCCAACTCATCAGTTTAGAGAAGTTAAATAAATCATTTGTATGCTCAACACAAGTATAGGACACCACAGAGAATATGGCCATCTTATTCTGCCGTAAGCAGATTCAGGTCAACGTTGAGTCATTCTCAATCCCCTACATAGTAGGCATTTCATCAAGTGGGCAAGGGGATAAATAAGACCATTCAAATGCCCTAGAAATCTCTGATAATATTGACAAAGAAAATCAAGACGATCACATCAAGGAAGAAAAAACAAAACATAAAAAAAGGTCTAGAAAATCATTCTTGCAATGGCCCAAAGTCCAAACTCAGGGATCATTTGCATGGCATTCTCTCCCATCAATTTATCTGTGTTAAACGGTTGAACCTCACTTAATATATATCCTTTCAAATAAATAATATTATTTCTTAATTAAAAATGCCCCTAACTACACAAAAGAGAGATTGCAGCAATAGCTAATTAAATTACTACCCAAAGAAAAAGAAAACATATGAACAGACAACTTTTTAGACACTTTAACCTTCCATCTCAAAATAAAGGTAGATGGTTCCCTAGCCTTGGGTCTAATGGTGTACAATCCTGTTTAAACGAGGAACTTCATAAAGTTCAAACCTTGAAATTAGTCCCTCGTAAACCAACCTAAATAATTACTTAAGAGCAAAGATTAATAATTATGTATGTGTGACATTTTCTACGTTGAAAAATTGATTTGCTCACCTCTCCTGCCATTCCATATTTGGCGCAATCAATAGCAAGACGCGTTGCTCGACCAATACTCTCCTTTGTCCTTGATAATGTCTCCAGCATGCCTTCAAAAGCATCACGAGACACCGCTGCTTCTGTACCACCACTCAATGAACCCCCAGCATTCTGATATTCCAAACTGACCCTGCCATCCTCATATTCATCCACATCTATTTGACTCTGAGAAGCAAGCTGCGTGGCACTAGCCACAGGAGTTTCGGATGACTTGTGAGAATAAAAGCCATTTGAATCTGGCCTCATTATCGTTTCAGATGGCAAAGGATGAACCCCATGAACAGAATTCGGACTCATTCCTTTCGCCGAAGGTGATGTGGCTACAAAGGTGGGAATGGAGGTATCAACATCTTGAAGAGACACAGGTCGTGCCTGTCGCCTCTTTGCCTGAGCAGCTGCAATTAGATGCCTCATTGACGTGAAAGAATTTGTGCCTTTCGAGTCCAATGACATGGTAGTAATACTTTCTTCTTTAACAGTGTTAGTTCTGTAACAAAGCCCGTAAAATATGCATGTAAGAAAGCTAAGTACATTCTGATACCGAAGAAAGTAATGTGGTATAAAGTAAGGGTGCTGTTTGTATAAGACTGCGACCTTATTTGTAGAAATAAGGTTACGATACTCTATGCCGTCCATTTTATTTGGACAGTGTAGACTTGACACATCTTTTAAGACAATGTTAATACATAGCATGTCTTTTAAGATACTGTCCAATCTACAGCATCCAAATAAAATGGATGGTGTAGATTAATGCTACCTTATTTCTACAAATAAGGTTGCAACCTTATATAAACTTTTTCCATTAAGTAACAACTCCTACTTACTGTTCCTTGTGAGAGAACGCTGAGACAGCTTCAGACCTAGAGTCACTAACTCCATTCATCTGCTGCATTGTTGTTGGAGTAGCCTTTAGCCTATCTGATGAAGGGTCCAGCTTATTCCTATGTGAGGTTGCTTCACTAGAAGAGCGGTTCAAACTGTTAGGAACATGACCAGCTTTACCAGATCCAGCTTGAGGTTTCTTTACAGGAGCATTAGCTGATGGTTTACCAAGTGAACACACATTTTTATGCTCAAGAGGCTTAACTGTGGCGCTGGTTGATCCAAGAGAACCTCTAGGAGAAAGGACTGCTGGAGCACAATGCTTAGAAGATAATTTCTGCAGTCCGGGCTTATTGGGCGAAGCATGTGATGGTGGAAGTTTTGGTTGTTCCTCATCCTTAAGTTTTTTATTGGATGAGAAAAGTTTGTCAGAATATTCAACGGGTGATGGCTTATCTTGTGAGACTTTATCAACATGCACGGCTGTATCCAGAGTTTCAGCCTTAACATCAACATTCTCTAGAGAGTGGTTGTGATCTTTCCGGTGAGTATCGGCACTGTCCTTCACTATTTTACTTATTCTTTTGGCAGATTCCTTGTGGACAGGGGTCCTGCATTCCTCACGATTATCACCCCCCAAAAGGAGTGCACCCCGTTTAGTTTCAATACGGAGTCTTGAAGATTTCTCATTCAAAGGGCTCGATAAAGAGCTGTTTTTCATTACATTCAGACTTCCCTTGGTTGAATCTTTAGCTGTTTGAGCAGTGCAAACTGACATTGCTTCCATTGCTCTTTGGTGTCGCTTTGTTGGTGGAAGAACAGCTTCCTCTCCAAGTAAGCGTGCCCCAGTATCGAGGCTCTCTAGCTTTAATGCCAAATGGGTTTCTGCTTCTCCAGAGGATAAAGGTTTCTTACATTTTGCATCTCTATCCATTTCTAAACTTCTTGGTCTTTTTGGAGGAGGTAAATGCTCATCAGATTTAATCCCACGTTTCCTGCTTCTAGGTTGGGTGACCTTTTTCCTGTGATCTACAGATGATGATGGGTCATCGATTTGCTCATCAGAATGATCAGATTCCATAACTTTAATATCTGTAACTCCAGAAGAACGTTTCCCTTTTCCTTCAGTACGAATATTGGGTGATTTCCTCACACCAGTTTTAGCAGAGTCACTCGGTAAAGCTTTGGCTTTCTTCACCAAACCAGTACCAATATCAGGCTTTGAAGGATATGGTTCCGTCATGGTCTGACCTCTGATGCGCTCACCTTGAACTTTTTTCTTTGCACACTTCTTTCATCTTCTGGATGTTGTTTGGGTTCCATGGCTTCAAGACAACTATGAGAATGGGCATGTTTCACTGATGTTAGATCTGGACGTGCCTTCCGGTTCACCCCAAAAACACTTTTTGCATGCTCTGTGGTTTCTGTGATCGCCACCTCCGCATCATGGATATTCATTCCTGTATTTTGCTTTCTATCAGACTGCTTGGTAGCAAGTGTCACAGCCAAAGGTTGTGAACGCTCATGTTCACTTCCAGTGAGATGAGAAGGGAAGTTCTGACCAGAAGCAGGGGATGCATCCGCTCCATCTTTGTACGATGAAGATGGAGATACGCGTTCCTTTACATTCTGCAAATCCCTTTTACCTTTATCAGCTGATACTATCTCACTTTGGTTTCTTGAACATCTTGCTAACCTGTACATTTCACTATCCACACAATCGGTGTTGCTAGCCTCCTGACCAGTAACCACCTGCTCTCTTGACTCAGATTCCAGTTCGTTATCTGCTGTTAAGGCTCCCTCATCATCATCGCGGTGCCCAGAATCTCCTCTATGTTCCAAGGGGGAAGCAGCACTTTGCACAGTTACCCCGTCAATATCTCCCCTTGAGTCACCTGACTTTTGCCTCTGTAATTCTTCAAAGGCTTCACATATTTCTTTCACAGCACGGGCAAAATCATTAACAGTCTTACCTTGACAACGGGCTGCCAATTTGTTTTTTGATTCATGAGTAAATGCTTGAATATCTGCCGGGGCAACAAAGGCACTGCAAAAGAGATAACCCAAAACAAATTAGAATGTTGATCTACAGAAATAAGAAATGAGAAAACCATTATTGATGATCATGCAGATAAAATAAATTTACAATAGTGCACTAAGAACCATAAAATCCCAGTGCGGTGGGGGGGGGAGGGGGAACTACGGTAATCAGGGTGGGGGAATTATATAAAAATAGCCTTGGCAAGACTCTAAAGACTTTGACAGGAATGGATATTCATAAGTCTCCAGAGGCAGAAATAAGGCCCCTCTTGACATTCCTCAACATGTTCTTCCACTTGTCCCGGGGCTCTTAATGCCACAGAAAAACTCTAAACCTGGCTAATATCTAATATTACAGAAAAAGCAATAGGTACCTTTCTCATGAAGAAAATAAACAAGCTGACTCTTTTGACGCGAGGGGTTGGAACTTGGAGATCTGGTCATCCAGCTATAGTTCCTCTTGCTCCAGACATGCTCTCCCATTAACCCTACGATTCTGGTACTATTTTCATTTATCCATGCTTCTCTTTGTACTCTCTTTTATTTTAACGATATCTTCATCATCATAAAATTATAAAGAACCAGGGTGTCTCTCACTTTCCCCATGTGATCAAACCAATGATGAGACTGGGTCATTCAACCAGGGCCGTGGGGTTCCCCCCCCCCCCTCTTTTTTTTTTACTATTTTTTTAGTTTAAGAGCCCCCCGGGAGAAAGGGGGGGGGGGGAGGGGCGGTTGTTGGGGTGTGGGTGGGAGGTGAGGTTGGAAGGCGGAAAGAGGGAAGGGAGCATCTCCCCCAATTTTAAACCCTAATCCTTCCATCAACATTAAGGTTATGCCCCATGAGTTGTAAGCTCCATGCAACTTTGATGCAAATGGTTTACTTAAAAGTCAATAATCAATTTCAATAAAAGAAAAAGACGCCATCAACTCAAAATTTTAATGGTGGATCAATAGTTAAGGAATACTAGTGTGAGTTCATAGATAAATTCTAAGAAATTCTTTTTTGAGGAAAAGGTTAACTGATAAATTCTACGAAAATTCTCTCTAGTAAAAAGTATAATTTTTTTGAAAAACAAAAGTGGTAATTATTGATGTTTTCAATATTATTGGGTTACGCTGACCAATCTTCTCATATGTTGGTGCATTCAGCCCTTTTTCCTAGAGGAGTCATATTTAATGGAAGTTGCACCCCATCATGATTTTTTAAGGCATCTTAAAGAAAAATAATAATGGGATTTTATATAGGCTGGACTCTGTTCACAACTGAATGACATGGATAGAGTCATTTTGTGGTCCTTTGTTTGGAGTTCATGAGATCAGGAATTTACACTTTGTCTTCGAGTTGAGACCCATGGTCAATACTCCTAGTCTCACCTGGTAGTTGTTGCCCCAAGCTACCATGTGCAGGTCCCTTAGAAACAGCTTTCTAAAAGATGGTTTGATGGCAGTTCTTTAGAGTCTTCATCCTTCTGGATTGGTGCATGCTTACACAATTTTTTGTTTGGTTAGGCTGGCACCCAAGGAACTAGTGGGGGTTTGGGGCATACCACATTAGCTGTAGCTAAGGCCCAACTGACCGATCTCAAGAGTGTAGCTCGGTTCTTCTCAAGGTCACCAATGCAAGAGCCAATCAACCCTAGCCACCAATGTGAAACCCATATAGCGATCATTTGAACTTTAATACAATCTCATACAATTTTCAATCAAGTTTAATTTGACAATCAAGGATATGCAATACCTAGGGCGCAGGAAAGGTGAAAACCGTAGGATAAAGTCAGAATCAACCTTAGCTCGCAAGAGATTGTGGAGGAGACATGGGAAACAGTAGCCAAAAGTATGGCTCCCTGCGGATGGTCAGATTAAACAAGACAAAACCTTCCAAGGGGATGTGGAAGCTTAAATTCAGTGGTATAACCATCACAACACCCCCAAATCCTGAAAGAGATTGTGGGTTACTATGGGATGGGTTAAGTGAGGTTTCAAGTTAATCATGGGGCCGATTGCATTTGCAAATTGTACAGATGTTGCAACAGGCCAAGCCCCTACCTAGTGATCTTAGGTTTTCTATAGAATCTCACTACAGACATTAACCAATGGAAGACATTACCCTAACATCACCAGGTGGGCTAGTTACTCAACACCTAAACATCGGATAATGTTAAAGTTACAACATGGGCATGTCCAAAGGAAATCAAATTGTTTAGAAAGTATACAAGTTGAGCAAGAAATGAAATATAGTTATGGGAAGCGCCTTCCCTAGGGACAGTCCCACTCTTGGAACATAGTTCCTCCTTCCGATCCGACTTAGGAGCTCTTTCCTGATTATATAGGATCACGATCCATTTAACATGGGGACGTTAACTGTGATCCACCATCATTGGATATATAATTAGATGATTTATTTTATATAATTGACGTATGATTACACAAATCATCAAACATAAAGATGACAATAGTAACTAACTATATTATGATAGTTTGTGTGCATGTGTGTGTCTGCTATATGTATATATAAGAACACAGTTACATCATCATCATCATCATCATTTTAGCCTTTTCCAATTAATTGGGGTCGGCTACTTGAATCTAGTTCTAAAGATTACAATAGTAGCTAACTATATTATAATAGTATTGTTGTACCTATTTACAAGAACAACTGAGACATACAAAATTGTGCAAACTATTGAGGGATCAAACTTATGGGTCACACTATGAAGTTGTAGAAGAGAGTGACTGAACAACAACTAAGGCATGAAATGAGTGCAGAAGAAAACTAGTTCGGCCTTATGCTAACTATAATAAATGAATATTATAGACAATTTAAAATTATATAATAATATTATAAATGAAATAGTTCAAATGAGGTTATTTTCCTACTTAGGCAAGTGATTGAGAAGTTTAGGGTGAAGGCGGAAGACCTCCATGTGATCTTATTGATCTAGAGAACGCCTATGATAGAGTACCTTAAGAATTGATTTGGTAGGTGTTGGAAAAGAAAGGAGTCTTTGGACATTGCATTAACATTGCATGTCATGTGCAGCGCAAACCCAGTACAGCACCTGTTAGGAGCTGCGAGTTAGTTCAAATGGAAGGCTCAAAAAAGATAAGGGATAGGCCCAAAAGGACATGGTTGGAAGTAGTGAAAAAATATATGGGGACTTAGGACCTCACTAAGGGTATGGCCTTTAATAAAACAGAATGACATACCAGGATTCGTGTAGCCGACCCTACGTAGCCGACCCTAACTGATAGGAAATCAGAGATAATCTCAGTGTCCCATAAACACCATCGAAAGACTATGGCGGTTAAAGGAAATGCAGTTCCCTCTCTTGTCAATTGCCCTACAGTCTCAATTAATTTCTTTTATTGAACTCCTTCAATCATATTTAGCAAGTCTGTTTAAAACACGGTTTTTTAAAAATGTCTTCAATTTTTTGAAATCCATTAAGAACTTTAAGTTTTTCAAAAATCTTCAAAAGATCGCATTTTTTTAATAAAACCAATATCAATCTGTATCTTTTTCCAAAAAAGTTTTCGAAAAGACTTCTTCCCTATAACTTTATCTCTACATTGATTTAAGGGATAGTATACTGTGAGACCATGTACCATTGTCACATTGATTTAAGGGATAGTATACTATGAGACCATTTACCATTGTTATAAGGAGGTCACGATCACTCATAGCCATTAGACGGCAAATTGGACAGCTTGGGGTTTGTCATGGAGTGCAAGAAATTTTTTTGAACACTGAGTATAGTCAATGACACACTTAGAACACCTTATTTAAAATCCCACAAACAATAGTGATTGTGACCTTGTACTAAAAGTAAATGGTCTCTTTGTATACTTTCCCTTGATTTAATATCTTTGAAATTTGGTTTAGAGATAAGCACATTAAAAGTGGGAGCTAATGAAGAATCTTGATTTTTTTAAAAAAATCCATCAAAAGTTTTCACCAATATGTTCCCTTAAAAAACGTGCAATATATTCTCCAAAAATAATCCATTAAAACAACCATATATCTCAAAAAAATAGTTAGAATAAGCGAAAGAGTAACACAGTGAAAAATCCTCTTTTTTTCCCCTCTAAACACATAGTGTCATTATAAAGAGAAAGAAAGAGAGATTCAATGACAACTAAAGATTTAGGTTAGCTAGCAATTCAGGGTAAGCTTAGAATATTTAGATTTACTTAAGCATTTTTTTCATTGTTTTCTTTTTGCATACAGAAGTTTGATAATTTCACCTTGTCAAATTTTTTTTATTTCATTAGTGTATACATCATAGCAATTTGGACGGACCATTATTTTACATTTTTTGGGTTTTTGTGTTTTAATTAACTGCAATCCTATACTAAGGGTCATTTTTGTTTTTTTCTTCAAACAATAATCCCATTTCTTGGGTTACGTTCTTATTTGCTACAATAATTCTTGTGATTAGTATAGTTATTGTTGTTTTATTGTATGCTTCCATTAAATCTATCGTTCGTTTTGAGTTGTGACAACAGAGTAAACGTTGTTATATTTACTGAAGTTTTAGACAAAAAATTGTCACGTATGACTCCAATGACACTAGGTAAGGACATAAAAATCATTTTTTATGGACTTAATGAATCCATATAAGAACCGCAACTCACAATCTTATATTGTATTATTTTTACATATCTGATTTTTTCAATCTGTTTTTTTAAGCCAAATCCAAATGTTTACTATTCTCTGACTTACCTAATTTTCGGCGATCCATTTTTTTACCTGATTTTTTGCCTCTGAATTTATGGAGCAAAACCGATTTATTAATGATGTTTTGGTTTGCTAATATAACATTATTCCCCAACTTGTTAACTATGCTTTCAATGATATTTCTGTGGCAAATGTGCATACGATATTTATTATAAAAAAATGAATCCTTTGGTTTTTAATTTCAATTTAAAAAAAAAAAACACATGCACATGCACATGCACATGCACATGCACACACACACACACACACCGCACATGCCCCCAGACAAGCAATCTCATGCACTACAGAGGCAGGAAACTTTAGATAGGAGATGACCCCACGTCCCATCAGTCGCTCTCACTCCCAACAACTATGGTATGAACCAGTAAGCTAATCTAGGCATAGAGAAATCAATGAAGTAGAAGACTGTCTTGACTCTCAAGTGGAAGGCCATAAACATGGTCGGCACATTGGCTAGGAATCCAGTCCCTACTCTCACTCAAGTGATGCTTACTTTGGTGAAATCAGTCATCTACATTAAGCCCTCTACCAGTTTTCATTGATAAAACTTAATTGACGAGGCACAACATTATGCCCAAGCTCCCCAGAAAACTAAATTCCAATCATAGAAGCAAATATTCAAATGTTAAAAAATAAAAAAGGATTTCATCAATTGCACACCATATCGTTCAGATACTAAATTGAACGCACAAATATTATTGTAAAACTTTCATAGTTGGAAAAGAAAAGTAAGAAACAAGCCAATTCTACATAAGAAATTAGTAAAAGTGAAACACTTCTCCTTCAACTGAAAATAAGATACATTTCATCAAACACTCACATTTCTGCGGTTCCGAAAAACTCAACAAAGTATTTCCTTGGATCAGGTGATCGCTCCCAGTCTTCTGGCCGACTTATCTGCATGTATGAGACCGCTTTCCCAAGTGAGAACCAGTCTACAAAGAACTTGAATGCCCAACTATGAAATAGTTTTTAGATTAATTATGACTATGAAGAAAGGAGATCCAATTTCTCGCCACTGATAAGATAGAAGGCAACTACCATTGCAGACAATATTTTAAAGGTGTTCCAATGGTGAACAGAAAAAAAGACATTGCCCATAGTAAAGACGAAACACTCAATCTGAAATAAATTCCTTAAACCAATGTACGTGAAGAGCTAATAATCATTAAATATATAATCAATGGATCCTTTCCCTTGGCTTTTGGCCCCTCTTGTATTTCTCGTCTTAAAATTTTTCTTATTTTCCCTCTTTCTTTTCTTTCCCTCCACTGCCTTGTAATATGAGGACGCAACTTGTGGGATGCCTTCTATAAAGCTTTGCTCTAATCTATACTCAATACTTAAAAAAAACTTTCTCAAGATAAATAATAGAAAATTAATTTCAGGAAACCAAAAAAGCGCCTTCCTGATTGAGAGAACAGAGTCCTTCTGAAAGTTATCCCTTGGAAGTAAAGAAAAGAAACATGGAGTATTAGATGATATAAGTTCAAGTTAGTGTCAAGATCAACATGCCTGTACCTAAAATCCTAACCTCCTATCCACCCAAAAACCAGTCAAGTAATCCATCAAAATTTCTATAGTAGAGAGAGAAACACAAAGAGATAAATACAGAGACAGAGAGAGGGCATGAACAAAATAAGAAACCAGATGTCCATTAATGCATAATTCACAAAAAAAGGAAACAAATTAAACATAAGTACCTTAGCTGGCCATGGAGGAAATCCTTTAACCTTGGCCAAGACGAGATCCCCCAAGCTCAATTCATTCTTGGCCCTCGCCTTGCCTGTGCCCCTTTTACGCCCTGGAGCCATGGCGAAAAAAAACCCAATCCAGCCTCACCGTCCCGAATAACCAATAACAAACAAAACCCTAATTTCGCCCTGAGAAAATGATCGGACTGTACCAGTTTACACTCCCGGAAAATTCGCTGGAAAAACCAGCAGGCCTCTGGAAAACTGGTTTACTGTGAAGGGAATGGCCGTTCTCGCCCATAAGGCGGTCGGATTAAAGAGGAGAAGACGATGCGTACATTACCATGGGCGATTTCAAGGGGAACGAAGCGACAGGAGTTTAGAGAGAGGAGTGGGGTTTAGAGAGAGAAAGTGTAGAGAGAGAGAGGAGATAGTTTCATGGGGGTGGTTTGCTGAGTATTTGTGCATTGGGTCTCTGACACCCAACCCTCGGGTTTGCCCATTAGAGGTACTCGCTAACCGTGGTTAACGCCCAGGGTTACTCAGCCGTGTCGCTTATTTGATACCTGCAAATTTCTAGCATGTGTGAAAATTGGTAGAAACCGGTACTTGAGGGAGATCATAAAGCGATAAACTGCCCAAGTGTTTGGCGGAGGGAATAATTATTAAGCCCGTCTATTCGATAGTCCGGTCTAGTCAATATTTATTTAATATATAATTAAATTTTTTATTTTAATTTATAAATTAAAAATAAATTTAATAGTTTAAAAATATAATATACTTAAAATTTTTGTTCTAATTAAATCGTTAATTAGCTAGATAGCCTGATCGACTAAAACTAATAAAACATCAATTGTAACTAATATTCGACTAAACCTATCTTTGCTTTAAACCGTATGAGGTCCACTCTTGATGCCCTTGATGGATGGCGCTTGATGCCCTTGATGGATGGCGACGGAGAGACTATGGACCACAAAAAAGGGCATGGCACAATTGTAATCCCCTCCATGTGTAAATTTGTGGATTACAATCAGGAAAATGGTTTTGAAAGGGCTGCAGCTCTATCAAAATAAGTAAAGCCTCACTTCAAAACTTTAAAAAAATTACAATTCAAGTATTACAAAACATTTAAATCGATCATCTCAACTTGAACATCATAGTTGTGAAAAACGATTAGGATTTGAATTTCTAAAAGTAGTGTACATTGCAACAAATCATCTAGACCATCCATTTCACCTAAAAATAAGTGTTCACATATTCACAAGATTTGTACAATTTTTTTAGCTCACAAATCTATAAAAATTTGTACTATTTTTTTAGTCTCAAAATTAAATTATTGATGTTGAAAATTGATTTTAGAGCCATCATGAAGGCCTAAGTACTTTTTAGATGAAGATTTTAGGTGAGGCTTTAATGCCTAAGTGCTTTTTAGATGAAGATTTTAGATGAGGCTTTAATACCTAAGTGCTTTTTAGATGAAGATTTTAGGTGAGGCTTTACTTTGTTTTTATAAAGCCTGTGCCCTATAGAAACTTCATCCTTACAACAAACACCTGCTAATTTTTACTCTTTGCACCAAGCTTATGATGTCGTGCAGAGGAGCCACCATCAACAATAAGGGCATCTCTAGTGCATAGCTATCAAGACTAGACTAGACAGGTGATTTGACCAGTCAGATCACCGACCTACGTCTTGCTCGATTTGATCCAAATTTAAGATTTGATTTAGTAAAAAAATAATCAAAATTAGTGTTTGATCAAATTCGGTCCATCTGACCAGCCAATTTGGACCGGTACGATTGGCCAAAAAAAATTGGGCAGTATCTTTTGTTAATATATTGTATATTTTTTTATATATTATTCATATTTTTATATTTTTTGGTAAAACCGATTCGATCGACCTTCTAACCAGTTTGGACTAGTCAAGTCCCTTACTAGCTCAATAGCTGGTTCGATCCTAATAACACTGGTATCTAGACTCACGTTTAGATAGATGGGAAAGTTGATAAATGATGTCCATCGTCTTTCCCTGTCGATGAATGGTGAAGATGACCCATAGTCATGCTACTTTATTAAATGGGACTTTGTTTGCCAACCAGAAAGTATTAGGGAGCTGGGCATTTATCAACTCTGGGTAGTCAATGAATCCTTGCTTATCAAGTGGTGGTGAAGACTTCCAGTGCATGCTGATCACCTTTGGGCTAAGGTGAATGTAGGTAAATATGATCAAGATCCTGATGGTCCTTATGCTAGGAGGTGCCGGTGAATCGGTCTATGGTCTGACGTGGTAGACAAGGTGTTAGGTCTCTATTTTTTGCCTACACTAGGATGCTCATTGGGGATGGACGTTCGACTAGGTTTTGACATGCAAAATGGAGGGGGGAATTCCCTCTCAAACTATATAGAAGTCGACCCAAAAATGAGTTATGGTTGCTGGCTTGATCACCTTAGTCGACCATAAACCCATGTGGGATGTCACTCTCTCCATCAGAAAGGTTTTTCTACAGTACACCACATTGTTGGAAGCTCTATACAGTTTTTGTTTCTTCCCTTGGAACTAGGATAGGCTGATCTGGAACCTTGAACCGAGAGGAAACTTCTCCACCAAATCACTTTATGTTGAGATTTGGAGGGATAGATACTTTGATAACAAAAACGCATCTTGCCAAACTATAGAAGTGTAAGGTGCCTCTCCGGGTTATGGCTCTTTGCCTATAGGAGACTGTTTACTGTAGACCAATTTCAAATGAGGGGCATGATTATCACTAATGTTTGCATGTTCTACACAAAAGATGGCGATACGATTATCATTTCCTCAATTGCAAATATATGGTAGAATTATGGGATTGGCTTGCTTGCCTGCCTGCCTAAACGGCACGGTCAGTGGTCTCAGGACATCCATATTTTGCTTCAACAAGTATGAAATCCTCCTTTTGCATCATTGGGGATGAATCTGGAAGAATCATGATTGCTGCTTCTCTTTGAACCCTTTGGAAAGAGGAATTTGAGAACTTTTGAGGGCCGGTCTAGGGACTTCCTAACATTGCGCTATGTTATTTAGCATACTATTATTATGTGGGCTAATGTTTCTCTTCCTTTTGACAGCGGTGCCTAATCTTCTCTTTTTTATCCACTTCAAAGACCTTCTTTCTATAAGAAGTGTCGTCCCTTGATTCGTCGGGTATGGACGAAGCCACCAAAAGGTTGGCTCAAACTAAATTTCGATGGTAGTGTGAGGGGTGCTCGATCTAGTTTTAGAGCGTTACTTCGAGACCATACCGGTGCCTTGATCTGGTCTTACTCTGGCTGCCTCCATCCTTGTGAGATTAATGAAGTTGAACTTTGTACCCTTCGGATGGGTGTGCCGCCCTGCCTAGACCAGTTACATCGGAAAGTGATAATTGAAGGAGATTTGACCAATGTTATCTCATGGTGTATTAAGCCAAATCTCGTTCCGTGGAGACTTAGTGCGATCATTGATGAAATTCTTCTGGCATTGATGGACCATGATATTTCTTTTATCCATATTCATCGTGGTGCTAATGCTGAGGCCGATTCCTTGGCTATTCCGTGGCTAAACAGGTTAGTGGTTCTTAGCCTTGCTCTAATTGCCTCTCTCTCTCCTCTTCTGTTATGCTCTGTTTGTATTTCTTTCTTTTTCTATTTTATTTTCTCTCTCTATCTTGCAACCCTTCATTATCTTAATGAATATTACACTTTCTCAAAAAACAAATAAAAAAAAAATGACCCATAGTCTTGCTTTTATAAATCAACCAATAATGGTGGCAACGGGTCAGGTTTGGGAAAAAAAAAATGATATGAAATCAGGATCCGACCCAATAATTAAAATATCTATATATTTAAATATTCTTATATTAGGACCTAAAAAATATTACTGGACCTGAACTCGGACCCAGACCCAAAAATTGTTTAGGTCCAAGATTTAGAAGCAAACCGGACATACCGATTCCAATATTTGAACCCATACTTGGACCTAGATCGGGTCTACCCTCGAGTCCCAAGTCGGGTCCATTGCCACCCCCTAAGAACAAAGAGTGAATGCCGCTCATCATGGCCATCCATTGATAAGAGAGACAAAGGATTGACCATTTCTAGGCTATTTACGGTACACGAGCACTCCTTCGAAACGATTGGATCACAATTTCATTTTTTGAGCTACTTTGAAAAGCGTAGCTTTTATTTTTCACAATCTAAATTGAGTTGGAACGTCATTATTGGATGGAACGGGATGCATAACTTCATTTGCATCCCTCAATGGCACGTCCTTCTTAAGATAGATGTATAATGATAGTCCCCGCAAAAATAAAAATAAATAAAATAAAATTAATGTTTAAAGATTATTCTAAAAAATTATCATTTTTAATTTTTAATTTTTGTTTACATATTAAGTAGGGAAAATATCTCTCTACCTCCTATTTTTTACTTCCATTTATGAATAGACACAAAAATTGAAATTATTTTTTGCGGCATAAAGTCTGTATCTTTTTTATCTTCCTACTCCCTAAACCCCTTTGACCATATATTATTGACCTAAACATTTTGTCAAAAGACTCCATCTCTATCTCTCAAAACTTTGTATCTCTCCCCTCTCGAATATGAATTCGAGTGAATTTTTTTTGTAATTATGGCACCTTCTTTATGGCCACTTTCGAGTGATTTTTTTTTGTAATTCTGACACCTTCTTTATGGCCACTTTCCCTATGGCCATCGACTGTACAAACAAGAGACCATATATTAGAGTCCGTAAGTTGTTATCTCCTTTTAAAAATATCATTGCCATCTACCTCAAATGGGTTTATGGATTTGTTCCCTCCTAAAAATTTCCGCACCATCCACCTCAAATGGGCTTACGATATTGCAGAGAAAGAGAAAAAAAAAACTAGTCGGTCAGGAGAGAGAGAGAACGGATTGATTTGGAAGGAAAGTTGGATGCTTGTTAGTTTTGTGTTGAAGAAGATTATTTGCTCATCTTGCCCAAATAACATAGAGATAGATTTGTATTGAAGAAGATTACTTTCTCCTCTTGCCCAAATAAGATAGCGAAAGAGAGGATGAACGAGGTGAGAGACGGAGTTTTTAGAGAGAGAGAAAGGGAAAAGATACAGAGTTTTGAAAGAGATAGAGATGGAGTCATTTTACAAAATGTTTAGATCAATAATATATGATCAAAAGGGTCTAGGGGGTACGATGATAGAAAAGATAGAGACTTTATGCCGCAAGAAATAACTTAAATTTTTGGGTCTATTGAAAAATGGAAGCAAAAAATAAAAAGTAGGGAGATATTTTCCCTATAAAGTCTCTCCATGTTAAAGATTATATAAAATACAAAATTAAGTACAAAATCCATCTTAAAGATTTGGCACGACTGCAGGTGCATACAGTAGCATCTCAAAACCCTATCATCAAGTAGATCGAGGACAAGAAATACTGCAAAATCCATTATCGACCTCTACAATCATGAATTTGGAAAAAAAAAATTGTTTTAAAGCCCGAAGGATGAACCATCTTGCACCATTTTCTCCAAACTATCAATTTCAAGGTTTTCATAGAACTATCAGATTTGCAACATTTGTATAGAGCTCCAAATTTAACATTTTGAGGGTAGAAATGGGTTAGCAGGTGATCAAGAGGTGTTTTGAGTCCTCCTTCCATGTCCGGACTGGAGTGCTGTATTGCGCCATAATGTTGCTCTCAAGTAAAATACTTATAATATAAATTATTGGAAAAAGTTTATATAACGATGACACTTTAAAATATAACATTAAAGTGCACCTCAAAAATCCAAAAAAAAAAACTATATTGACGTTGGAAAAACATCTAATTGATAGTTTTCACATCACAATATATGGATATGAAGAAAATAAAAATTCCAAATCTTAAATATAGTACTATTTTTGGTGTATCATGCAACACATTATCCGGACCGTCTCTTTTCAAGATTTTCATGTATTTATAAATTTATTTGATTTGAACCATTTTTTAAGTTTAAAATTTTATAATCATATATGAAAATGGATTCTCGTGCCATCCTAAAAAAATTTCACTCCAAAATTGCATCTTATGAGTTATGACAAAGTTTAGAAGTACACTTTACTTTAATTTTTTTAAGCTTGCAACGTCATGCAAACCACATCCTAAATCATTTCTCTTGAATAAATTCGAGTCCCTGCCAACCTTAATTATCCTTTTTTAGTAGTTCTCAATTTATAACTTATGTATCTTAGTTAATTGGCACAAATTTTTGTGTGATTAAGCATGCATATTCATAATGTGAATTGATAATTTTAGGGGTGGCAAGGAGTCGGGTCAAAACGATTGGACCAGACACAAAATTTAAATATCTATATATTTAACCATTTTTAAATATAGTTTATCGTCTTAAACAACTTTCACATGTGGGTAAATTTACGTTAATCAAAGATCACCAAGGGTCTTTAATTGACTAACCCAGTCATCCTATGATTAACAATAAAACCCAATCCAGCATGACCAATAATGAATCAGAAACCTGGTTCACATCAAAAGGGAAAGAAGGAAAAGCCAAAGCAGATGACGAGAGACGAGTAAAGCATGCATCCTCCAATTTCATAGTAAATAACCCATCAAAGAAGAATTCGATCAAACAAGGAATCATTAAAAATTCAATTTGAACCATGTCACTTAAGAAATAAAATAAATATCTAGAACCATGTCACTTAAGAAATAAAATAAATATTTAGCTGGGCAATTTCTATAGGATATCTGGGCGGGCAAAGTGGAGGCATGCAATCAAAATTTTATGTGATCGCCGCATACCAATGAAGCTGAATGACAAGTTCTATAGGATAGATGTGAGACCAGCTTTGCTCTATGGTGCAGAATGTTAGGCGGTTAAAAACCAATATACACATAAAATGAGCGTTGCGGAGATTATGATGTTAAGATTGATGAGTGGCAAAATAAGAAGGGTAAAATTTAAAATAAATACATTCGGAAAAATTTTGGTGTGGCACCAATAAGTGGTAAGATGAGAGAGAGTAGACTTAGGTGGGCTAGCCATGTGCGACGCAGACCTAGTACAACATCTATTAGGAGGTGCGAGTTAGATCAAATGGAAGGCTTGAAAAGGGCAAAGGGTATACCTAAAATGATATGGTTGGAAGTAGTAAGAAAAAATATAAAGACTTATGGACTCACTGAGGGTTAATAGACCAGAATGACGGACCAAGATTCTTATAGCCGACTCCAATTAATTAGAAAAAAACTTTGATGATGATGATGATGATCTTACTTGGGCATTGAAAGTAGCCCTTTCTGATCCTAGGAGAGTAGATCCCATCATGAAGAAGCATGACAAGACCAAATTGAAATTGCAACCCTTAAGTCTCCACCTTTGCCATGTTTTCGATAGTGTTGTTTACACCTCCACTAAAAGTCAACAAAGCTTAAGAAACTAGTCTGCATCCCTTTTATATGTTTTGATGCTCTTAAATCCATGATCTAACCACTAGAGAGTGAATGAACAACTAGCAACTCACCACAACTATTAGTAAATGTATATGATTAAATGACATTTACAAGTGAACTTTAGGCCCTCCTGCAGTAGAAGCAAGTCAGGGTTGACTCGAAGCATTGGCTTTGCCTTGCTTCCTCTAGGTGTTCTAACCCTTTTTGCCCTCAACCTTCACTTTCCCCCTCCTCCCTTTTGAGGAAACATGCCCCTTTGGTTTATTAACATCCTTGCCGCTGCTACAATTCACGGACCAACACTCAGTTTCCAGTTCTAAATGTTGATATAACTGAGCAAAAGTAGTGAGATTCTCATTGCAGCATTATTAAAATTCAGAGTTTATACTCTACAAGAACAATAATGTGTTGGAGAGCAAATTAGTGTATTTCCATGAAAGACTAGCTCAAGAGATTTTTGAGATCCACTTTAGAGTCACCAAGTGAGTATTTTCACTAAAAATGAGTTTTAAGTTTGTGAATACTTGACCCAACAGTCAAAATTTTTTGTCTCTTTGATCAATGTTAGGGTGTTATTTTTTAGGCACATCAAAAGTGTATGATTATTTTTCCCTTGTTTTGGTTGGTTATTAGGTACATGAGGTTGATTCCCAAATCTCGGGGTCCTAAAAATAATTATAGGCAGGGGTTTAGCTGTGTGAATGTATGATACCCACATGATATTTTAGCTAATACACTTTAGGAGCCCATGATGTGAGATATCTACATAAATTTTGGAATCACGCGTAGAAATTGAGAGGCCAAAGGTTAGGATACATTCAGTTATTAAGAAGAGGCTAAATATATTTATATCAATAAATTGACCTGTATTGTACATTGATAGCTGTGGGAAAATCTTCAAACTTCAATTCCCTCTGTCTAGAAACACTGGTAAATTTATGTTGTCTATCAAATTTAGCAGTGATCTAATCTATTGACTTCATATGTGGTTCCATGCCTCTTAGCGTGAAAAGGATTTCTCCAATTTGGGGATGCATGTCATCTCTAACTAGAAACTCATGAACAGTTGCACCCAGCTCAATCAAACTCCAACCCCTCCTACTTTCAATTCCTCTCTCTCTCATCCTCTTCCTCACCTCCATCACCTCACCCCACCTACTAGAAGCTGCATATATATTTGATAAAAGCACATGTGCCCCACCATGGCCAGGGTCCAACTCTAGAAGATGGCTAGCCACAAGCTCACCTATGCCTACATTTCCATGAACCTTACAAGCACTCAAAAGAGAACCCCAAATCACTACATCAGGCTTCACAACTGAGGTTTTTACAAATTCATAGGCCTCCTCTATGAGCCCAGCTCTACCTAAGAGGTCCACCATACAAGCATAGTGCTCAAGCTTAGGGCTAATCCCATAAATCTCACTCATTCTATGGAAATAATCCCTCCCTCCTTCTAACCAACCAGCATGGGCACACCCAGATAAGACCCCAACAAAGGTCACACTATCTGGTTTAAACCCATCTCTCTCCATCTTGGCAAAAGTCTCAAGGCAATCCTTCACTCTCCCATGGATAGCCAGCCCCATTATCATAACATTCCAAGAAATCAAGCTTTTCTTTTGAATCCCATCAAATAACAACTGTGCTTTTTCCAACTCTCCACACTTTGCATACATGTCCACTAGGGCAGTGCTTAACAGAACATCTCTCTTGATCTTACTTTCTTTGATTTCTTTGTGAATCTTTTGGCCCAATTCAAGAACCCCCAGATTTGAGCAAGCTGAGATAGCGCTAGTTATCGATGCATTATTTGGTGGGACCGCCGAAGCCTTCATTCTACTATACATTGTCAAGGCTTCTTTGAATTCCCCATTTTGAGAATACCCACTGACCATTGCACTCCAAGAAACCACATTTCTCTCAGGCATCTTATCGAAGATTTCTCGAGCCGACTTCATGTCCCCAAAATTCACGTAGCCTGCTACCATTGAGTTCCATGAAACCAAATTCTTTTCTCCCATTTTATTGAATAACTCACAGGATATATCCATGCACCCACATTTGGCATACATATCTATCAAAGAATTCATAATATAAACATTTGACCCAACCCCCATTTCATGAACCATTCTCTCTATCTCTCTACCCATTTGCAAATCCTTTAATCTTGAACACGCATTGATCACAGTAACCATGGTGATTTCATCAGGCATGAAATCCTTGCCCCCCATCAAGAAGAAGAGCTCCAGGGCTTCTCTGGACCGTCCATTCCTCGCATATCCAGCAATCACAGCCGTCCATGAGACCACATCTCTATGAGCCATCTCATTGAACATTTCATGGGCAAATTCCATACCCCCACAGGAGGCATAAGCATGCAACATAGAATTCATTACAAAGGCATCCTGATCAAGCCCAAGCTTAATGGCCTGAGAGTGAATCTCCATGGACACCTGTAAATCTCCAAGATTAGCAGAAGCTTTAGAGAGAAGAGCAAAAGTATACCAGTTGGGCTTTGTACCTTTATGTAAGATTTGAGCATAGAAGGCAATGGCTTCCTCAGGGCCAATGGTTTTGGCGTAGGATTGGATCACGGAGTTGCAGGTGAATGTGTTGGGATTCTCTGTTTGGTCGAAAACTGATCGAGCATGGCCTAGAAGAGGAGGTTCAGAGAGGAGGTAGAGAGAGAGTAATTTGGTCAATGAGAGAGAGTCTTGGAACATGGTGGTTTTGAGCATTTGGGCGTGGATTTGCTTCAATTGTGAAATGGTTTTGGTTGATCCTAAGAGAGAGAGAAATGGGTTGTGCGGTATAAGCTTACTGGCTATGGATACTGACATTAAGGCACTACCAACGGCTATGGCCTCTCTCTCTCTCTCTCTCTCTCTCTCTCTCTCTTTGCGTAACAGGATTCTAACAGCGCTTGGCGCCTGCAAACGCTGGCGGGAAGATCGAGAAAGCACCCATAAAGAGTATCAAAGACTTCGGTACCTTTTAATCTTCTCTTCGACAACTACATGTGTTGAGACCAGTGTTCCAAAAATCAACCGGGCCAAACCAGCCGGATCAATCGGCCAATCGGGAAAATCCTAGACGGTCAAAAAGGGTATTAAAAATAAAATATATATATAAGGCACTATTAAACAAGGTACATCTGAATAAAATTGAATATTAATGACAAAATAGATTTTAAACAATCAATTTGTGTCTTAGAGTATTTTTATAATATTTTAAAAAATGATGAAAAAGTATAAAAATAAAAATTATTATACACCTAATCAAGTATTCTATTTACACATCTTCATGGGGAGCCTTTGTGTTTCAATACTTTCCAAATACATTACAAACAAATCTTTTAGTTTTTTAAAATTTTATATTATTTTTTAAAATATTTAATTAAATTTTTTTAAAATATCCGAATAAATCACCAAACCAAAACCGATCCAACCGGCCCAGTGTGCAAGCACCAGTCCAGACTCGAGATATTTGAAAGGCGCGAGCACATATTCCCGGTGCTCTCTCTCTTCCCAGTTCTCAGCAAAAAAAGGATTGCCTCTCTCTCTCTCTCTCTCTCTCTCTCTCTCTCTCTCTCTCTCTCTCTCT